ATTACATGTAAAGTTTCTGCCTATTTTGAAATGACATATTACATGTAAAAATTTGTCCTATATTTAAATGACATTACATGTCAAATTTCTGCCTATATTTAAATGACATATTGCATGTAAAGTTTAGCCTATTAAAAAACTCACCCGTTTCATCTAAAGGAAAAACAAAACAGGTGGGAACTAGTTCATCAGGGAACTTGTCAAACATTTCATAGAGTAGACTCCCTTGGGCATTGAATGCTTGAGCACGTAACCAGGGTACCTGTAGGGGTCTTCAGTCCCTTTCAGCACACAGTGCATACACACCAACAGAATCTCACACTTCATCAGAGGCCAGTCTTTGAACAGCTCTGTGGACACTTCATGCACGTTTAGAATCAATGACCAGAGTTCTTGAAGGTCAGACTCTCCACGGGCGGTTACCACGACAACCGTAGAACCATTCCTCTTCTCCCTGACAACCAGGAGCTTGGAGAAGTTTTTCTCCGCCAGAACCCCATCCTTCCAGTTAATACGGCTCCCATCACACAGGAAACTGTGCAGCTTCAAGGAAAGTTTTTCAAAGAAATTGGGCGGGGCTTTACCGTCAAAGAAAATCTCCATGCTCAGCTCAAAAGTGTTGTACGGCACAGTGGCTGGCCAGGTTTTGTAGAAATCTAAGGGCTTGTCTTGAGGGAAGAACCAAGGGAATTGGACAATCTGTGACGAGCCATGGAGGGCTTGTCTTGAGGGAAGAACCAAGGGAATTGGACAATCTGTGACGAGCCATGTAGTGCGTTGGTTGTCGAGTTTTTCAACTCAAAGCACAGGTTAAATTTGATCATGAGTGACAGGATCAAAGCTATACAAGTCTCTGGCCTATCTTTTGACAGTTTAAAATGTATCAACAGATAGCCCAGCATTTCTTTAGTCAGCAGACCTTTCTTCATGAAATCTCTTTTCTTTTTATCAAAAGAGTTTTCCCTGATGGACAAAGTTTCTCCGATGGTTTTATCGTAGTAGACAACGTCCTGGAAGTCGTGCCTGAAGGTGTTTATGTATTCAAATTACAGAGTGCAAGGGTCACCATGTATAATCCTCATGACTTCTGCTAGAAACTAAAAAAAAATTGTGACACTGTTGATCATCAAAATGCTTTCTTTCGTATTTATTTACTTCCCAAATTAAAACACGAATTTGCTTATTTTATTCCATATTATTGATCGTCCTCATCTATTAAAGTTAATGTGAAAGTGGCTTTGGGGTAACCATCAACTCGTGTATTGTAATTTGCCAACAGACTGATACAGCGACCAATGTGTTACTAAACAACTGAACTAAGTAGAAGTAACAGAAAATATACGTCCGACCCATCCCCCCACTTAGCTAGATAATAATGTCTGAAAGTAACACCAAGTAAAACATACCACATTGAACAACACATTATACGCGATTCACAACCCACAATACCACACAAAACATAGCAAAACTCCAGGTGGAACCACAGCACCATTAAACCAGATTGGACTCACAACAGCGCCTGGAGCTCAAAATTATTTTCTAAAAATTTCACATATCCGTAGAAACTCACTTGTCAATAAAACGGAGAAAGTAAATAATTTTTAATACCCCACTTTATTGAGGAAATTAATGAACACAGCTCCCACAGATCTAGCAACATTTTCAGGAACAATTTATTTGTGTCAGTGACAAAAATACAAATGTGTGGCTAGTGTGGTGATGTGATGTGTGTCGAAGGTGTATGTGTGGAGCTAAGTATTGTTACTGTCGTGTGCAATGTAGCAGGACCAGGTGACGTCTGTGTTGATGTTGTACGGAGACAACGAGTAGAACAAGTAAAGTGAGAGTTGCCGAGTGGGTGTGTTGTGGGGCATGCTTTGTGGCGGGTGTGTTATGGTGGGTGTAGTGTGTGTGTTGTAGGTGTAGTGTGGTGGTTGTGTTGTGGTGGGTGAGGTGGAGTGGAGGAAATACAATATTTGAGATGCACAATTCTAATCCATTTACTTATTTCTATTGCTATATTAGCAAAGTGGCCACTGTAAATTGTTCTGGCGCAGACAAAACTTACAATAAAACTGGCAAATATATTCCTTTATTAGTACTTGAGTTTAGACAAAAGCATTCAACGCTTGTTTCTGTTGTGTTCTCAATAACGTTTATGACTATTTATAAACCTTGCTCTCATGGTCCCAACCTGTAGAACACCCACCCCACTCTCTGTTTGATCAATTCATTGCCCAGTATCAACTTTCAAGCAGCATTACAAAGTTTTTTTGCCTTTTTGTCCTCATTCCTACTCCTAATGAGGTTAATGTCAAGTTACTCTAAAATTCTCGACTGTCTCTATCTACATTCTAGAGTTCCCAAAAAGAGTACAGATCACCATATATCTCCTCCCACAGGCAATCTTACCCCTGAATTTCATTAACCTATAGTAACTCTAAACTACAGTTCTGTCTGTAACTGCATGTCAGAGCTCCAGCAAAGAGTTTAAATCACTACATGTGTCCACCCACAGGTTAACTCTTTCTTGAGAATCCCATCAACCACTAGTATCATATTACAGCTCTCCCATTGACAACAACTTGTCTTGTGTTCCCCTTGGCCACTGTGCCCTGAGTACCTTAACTGTGTCAGTATTGTTACGGTACCCACCCCACAATGAACAAAGAAAACAATTTACTACAAGAAAGTCGTTGGGTATAATCCACCCAGTTGCCGGGAATCAGAAGAAATAGTATTTCCCACTATAAAAATTGTCCGGGTGTGATCCACCCAGTTGCCGGGGACAGGGTACCAAATATGTTGCCGGGGAAAGGGTTAATCCAAACCTTAAGAAAAAGATTTAAAACTAAAAATTACTAAGCATTTACCTTAGTCTAAAACAAACCAACGCCAGACACAACCCTAACCCTAGCTCTAACCCTAAACCTAGCCCTAACCTTAACCCTAACACTAGCTCTAACCCTAAACCTAACCCTAAACCTAACGCTGTCCGGGGGGGGGGGGGGGGGGGTAATGTCCTACTGGAAGGGGGGTAATTGACAAGGAGGTAATAACCCCGGGGGTAATAACCCCGGGGGTAATGTCGGGGCGGAAATGTCCGGGTGTAATTGACAAGGGGGAAATGCCCTGTTCCCGCTTTGAATTGACTAAATATATATAGTCCATATTACTGTAAGTGGATAATTATGTAGATAGGCCATTGTTTACAATTGACTATATACATATATAGTCCATATAAATGTATGTAGATAGTCCATTGTTTTCAATTGACCATAAGCATGTTGTCATTAAATGTGATGTCAGGATATTTGGTCGCATCCCCTAGGCCCGGCCACACACGTCTGTGTCAGAGAATCTCTTTCCATAAAAGCGTACGTCAGAAGTATATCATGTCTTATGTAAATATTTATGTATGTTAAATTTGACATTCATATATATCATCTACAATATCTCAAAACAAAAATTTAAGAGTTTACAGTCGGGTACACAACATAGCAATTTCGCTTTGCATTTGTGAACAAAACGTTACATTTTCACTACGGGTGTCGTGAACATGGACTCAATTGTGTAATTACATTATGGGTTTTGTTACACTGCCAAGTTTTAGCGACAAACTTGACTGCTGACATTTCTCTTCACTACCATCGTGCTTTATTAATCATCAACATAAAACATTAAGAATATCAAAGATAACAAAACGAAAGAAAGAAACTTTGAAATCTCTAACACTTTATTGTCATCTATACAAACAGTTGATTAAGTATTAAAAGAAAAATGTACAAATGAAATCAAGTTCATACAGATTAATGTTAATGATTAATTAATAAGCGACAAAATACATGTTTACAGCAATGAACACTTGTTTATAATTTTGGTTGTGTCTAACAACTCTAAACAAATGACGTGAAAGAAACTAAACAATTTATTTCTTGGATTCACCAGAATACAAAGTTGCCGATGAAGACATTAAAGTCTTGACACACCCCAGTGTAATGAAGAAGGGGCCATTTTGTTTGTTTACATTAGACAACGGGGAGAACCAACAGTTACATTAAACAAGGGGAGAGAACAAACAGTTACGTTAGACAAGGGGAAAGAACCAACAATTACAGATGGATCACAACCCATTCTCCCCACTATAATTTCCTTCAGAGTTTGATCCACTGTGGGGACGTGGCGACCACCTGCCGAATCCCAGCATGTAGACCTGTGCTCCACTGGAGCCAGGACATGTACATGTTGTGTATGTGTACTTGTACCAAACTTTCCCCTTATGTCTGTGTATCCACTGTCCTACAGAGACCTGTTTAGCACAGCCATGAGGATGTGACACTATAACGTTCAACTTGTCCTCATCAAATATCCCGTATTTGTCATTTACTTTCCCACATAGATCATTAAAGCGGTAACACATCTTGTACAGTTTATCAACCAACTCTAAGTCACACGACACACAGGTAAACACACACACGTCTGCCTCAATGTCTGCCAAAATCACCCTCCAGCCATCAAGACTGACCCCAGGACTTTTATTGTCATCAAAACCTACAACACACCTGGTCTGTCTCGCCTCACTGTCATCAAACACAACGTGTGTGGCTGTCCCCACACAAAACTCCCCCCACACTTTGCTGGGTGTGTCCAAGTGTTGACACTTGCCACATGGACAAGTGCCCTTGTTGTCACTCTCTGTGTACTTGTCCACACTCCACACCCTCCCCGTCCCTGTCTTCAATACGTCACTTCCTCTGGTGTTATAAAATGGATACTGACCACTGAAGCATGGAACAGACTTTGGTCTCTCTAGACTGGTGTACTTGACCTTTATCAGGACCGTTAGGGCAGACAAAGCTTTGATTAGCTCCAACAGGATGACGTCACGACAACGTGAGGGGAGATGACCCAAGTTAAAATCATTAACAGGTATAAAGTTGACATGACCTGGATTCTTCTTACAACCTGTATAGTGCTTGTGTAAGTCAGCTTCACCTCCATAGCAGATCTCAGTTTCATGCTGTCCTGGAGAGATACAAGTGGCGATAATTAATTGAAAGAAACGTTGAGCAGTAATCAAATAAATTACATAGTATGGCACAAAGGGAGATCATTTATAATATCAAAACATCGCTATTGAAAATATTTCCTACCTAAAAATATCTTACCTGGTATAAAGACAGGTTCGCTTTGTGTTTCATCCATGTTTAGAATTTTACTTTCTGTAATCTGAAAATAAATTAGAATTGATTACAGAGCTGATGAATAATGGAATAATGGTATACAATAATGTTAGCTAGTCCCCCACCCCTTCTAAACACACTACATGTTACTTGAGAAGCAGGCTTGACAGTATATGTATATTTACTTTATTTTGAAAACTCTATGACACATCTCACACGTTATTTAAATTATATCAAACTGTGAGACATGTTACTCTTGATTTAGTTTTAATAATTTGAGTATTTTTTAAAATTAAAACTTAGGAGTTAAACAATATAACCGTTCTATAAATTAACAATTAATTACTTTTTATGTGTTCCAATTATTTTAAATTATTAAGTAAAATTGTACTTAAATGTTAGGTGATTAGTGAGGCACATAGTTTAAAACGTTTGATTACTGGAATATGAAATGTTTGCAGGTTTTGCTGGTACAATACATTGTATGCCATTCAACAATTTAAAATATTTGAAATGATTTTCTGAGTGATCAGTATTCAAAGTATGTATAAATGTTTAAGTCCAGCTTTATTAATTAAAAAAATTAGTTTTCACAACAGATACAGAAGCTCTTGTCACCAGCATACCACCACTCACTAATTACGTCATCTGTTTATGCTGTAAAACTTATTTTTTAAAATTTTAAAATTCAAACATTCAAAATTCTACTTCAAAATCATTGTGTTTATTGTCCTGATTTTTCTTACTGAATGCTATATTTCTTCACTAACTCTTAAACTGAAGAATAAAAATGTAAACATGTAAAGATATACGAAGGGGCAAAATATATTAAGAAACAGTTTTAAATTTATTTAACTTAAGTAAAAAAAAAAATTAACCATATTTTAAAGTATTTTTAAAAATCAGGTTTTAATATTAATGAAATTCTCATTTTTAATGCCAAATATCTAAATATGCACTATGGAATAATGTATAAGCTTACCATTGACCTAGCTTTATAGTGACATATGAGGCAACCATTTGTTGTCTCAGTTTTTGGCTGAACTTGTGATGTCTGATGTTGGCTGAGCTTGTGATGTCTGAAGTTGGCTGAGCTTGTGATGTCTGATGCTGGCTGAGCTTGTGATGTCTGATGTTGGCTGAGCTTGTGATGTCTGATGTTGGCTGAGCTTGTGATGTCTGATGTTGGCTGAGCTTGTGATGTCTGATGTTGGCTGAGCTTGTGATGTCTGAAGTTGGCTGAGCTTGTGATGTCTGAAGTTGGCTGAGCTTGTGATGTCTGATGTTGGCTGAGCTTGTGATGTCTGATGTTGGCTGAGCTTGTGATGTCTGATGTTGGCTGAGCTTGTGATGTCTGATGTTGGCTGAGCTTGTGATGTCTGATGTTGGCTGAGCTTGTGATGTCTGAAGTTGGCTGAGCTTGTGATGTCTGATGTTGGCTGAGCTTGTGATGTCTGATGTTGGCTGAGCTTGTGATGTCTGATGTTGGCTGAGCTTGTGATGTCTGATGTTGGCTGAGCTTGTGATGTCTGATGTTGGCTGAGCTTGTGATGTCTGATGTTGGCTGAGCTTGTGATGTCTGATGTTGGCTGAGCTTGTGATGTCTGATGTTGGCTGAGCTTGTGATGTCTGATGTTGGCTGAGCTTGTGATGTCTGATGTTGGCTGAGCTTGTGATGTCTGATGTTGGCTGAGCTTGTGATGTCTGATGTTGGCTGAGCTTGTGATGTCTGATGTTGGCTGAGCTTGTGATGTCTGATGTTGGCTGAGCTTGTGATGTCTGATGTTGGCTGAGCTTGTGATGTCTGATGTTGGCTCAGCTTGTGACCTGAAACACTCAGTCAAAAACTTTTGCATGGGTCCTCAAATAATTTATTTAGTTTCATGACATGAAAATACATGACAGTAGAAAATGTAGTACACTGGATTGAAATGAGTGGAAATATAATGATATTGTCTTTATTAATGAATGTTGTATTTTAGAAGTTTTTTTTTTTCATCAATGAATAGACAAATGCATCGAGTTAGTTTTTGTTGAATCAACTATATCCTAGTCGAATGGTAATCCAGGTGACTTTATTTAGCGTCTAACATTAAAGTACAGAAATTAAAATATAAAATATTTTAATTACAGCACACAGAATTATTTTATCTGACTTAAACAAAGTACATTTCATCTTGAAAAGTTAGTAACTATGTTAGAAATGTGATTACATTTATTTAATTAACAATGCTGACTAAAATATTAAATGGCTTTAATTGTATTTGATTTTCATAAGCAGTGATTCTTCAAGACTTTTATTCTTCGGGGGTGGGGGGGAGGGGTGGTGCGGATTAAAATGTCTGGGGGAGGGGGCGGACACTGTTAAAAGTAAATATTTTCTCTATTTTTTTTTTGTTGGGGGGGGGGGGCGGTAGACTTTTTTCAGGGGGTCAGAGCCCTCCCCCCCCCCCCCCCCGAAGAGATGTCTGGAAGAAACTCTGTTCATAAGCTAATAAAATATTGTGTAAAAATACCAGCCACTTTACAGCCAAAATGTATAAGTTTAAGACAAATGAATTATCTACTTCATAATAAACTTTTGCAACCAAAATAAACATTTGTCACCTACACTGGTATAACTTATGAACTAATATAGGATTTTTTTTCTAGGTTTAGATCTTGAATCTAGTTTAATTATACATAAAGTAAAATATGTGCATGAGTTCTACTGAATGATAAAATATGATACTCAATTCTGCTGTTTCTGAAGTCATAAATATCGAATATAGAGTTTAGCCTACATTTCGACTACTGCGTGACGATGGCAGTGATTATCACTTGAAAATATTTTATTGCTAAGTTTTAATATCGAATTTCAAAACTATTCTATATTCATGTTTTAGAAATCTAATATTTAAATTAGTCACAAGCTTTTTTTGTGTATTTTACTTAGGCCCTATTTACTGTTGCTGAAAGCAACATTTTATAATAGGAAATTGCAAGTAGAGTATTCATCCGACTTTGGATTAATTATTTAATTTATGCCATAACGATTTAAGTTAATATATTCATATCAAATTTGCCACATTTGAATTTCTTTTATAATTTGTCATAAAGTTAATACTTTTCTCTTTGTCCGAGGCAAAATATATAGGCCCCTATTTCAAATAAACAAATATTTAGATATCACTGACTATATATATATATATATATATATATATATATATATATATATATATATATATATATATATATATGTTGGGAGATTGCGAGACGCGAAAAGCGAAATGGCGAGAAGATAATGCGAGACACCTGCGGAATTAAGGGAAAATAGCGAGACACTTTTTGCGAAAAAAAAAAGGTTTTTTTTTCGTGCTTTTCTCATCTTTATTGATTTAAATTATTTTTTTTTGTTTTAAAATAAACAAGCATTTAGCCATACCCTTTAACGCGAGTGTTGTATGTCGTTATTTTTTATCTAGATTTTATTATATAGATAGATAGATACTAAGACAATTTATTTAAAGATACTAAGAAGATCTATTTAAAAATCCTAACTTCGTTGCTGTGCTACTGTTATCGCCCGCTCTCGTTAGCGAGAGGAAATCCCGTCTCTGTCAGCATTAATTTAAAAAATCTAGCCCGCTCATGTTTATACAAAATTTCTATGCAAAAATAGAAAATATGTTTCCGGCGGCAGCGGATCCGGGCACGGTGATCTTCAAAGACGGTAAATCAGACGGCCATTATATTAAAACCATTTTAGGTTACATCTCTTATGAAATTGTTGATTTAATTAAACTAAATTAACTTAACTAAATTTAACGACTAACATATATAGGCCTACATAAGCCCAAATTTAAACGGAAACTCAACAAATTGGAAGAAATTAGATTATATTTTACAGGACTGAATAAGAAATTGCTCGTGTTATTAATAGCTACATGAAACGTCCTTCCGGACATACCAATATAAAACTTATTTTAATGTTAGATACTCACACCTAAAACGTTCAGCTTATGGCTTTCAGGTATTATTGTCCCCAATGGTACAGGCAAATAGGCTACACTAACAGGGATGTATTATAAAGTCTATTTTCATTTTATTGGTTTTCCTTAATCACGTGACTTAATTTTAAGAATTAGTTTTCCCGGTCCTAAAAAAAGTAACTTAGCCTACATTTCTAAAGTACGCGAGAAAACATGTTTTCTAAAACATGAAAAGAGTTAATATCGATATCACGCCGTTTTTGTTTTAACGAAATTAATGAATATATTTCAATCCAATAATCAAGAATACACTTATGTGTGTGGGGGGCGATGTCAACAGATGTAGATAGTTATCACACGTGAAGACCGAAACATTCCCACAAGGAGTGTGACGTCATTTATACACGATCCGACCCTTCCCCGCCTCGTTAAACCAGCATAATATCTTATAAATGCCTTCATGAAAACTTTATAAAACAACAGCAATTCGCATTGAAATCGAGTTCTTAAAAAGCAAAGTACCATTAAATTTGAAATTTTGATAACAAGTTATTAACACCGGTAAAAACCTGTTGTTTAAACACGAGCACCTAAGTTTAAATTTCTGATTTACTATTTGATTAGGGATAAACGATGCGCTGTTTTGATAAGAAATTCCTCGAAATGTACCTGAAATACATCAGTCCATACAGAATGAGTTGGAACGGCCCACAGCCAACTCGTTATCTAATGGTTGTTTACAATAGCAACAACTCTTTTTAGTTTTAGATTATATATTGTACAGTATCGTACACAATCACACAACACATCAAAACATGTGCAGTGCCGTATTCATTATATATATATATATATATATATATATATATATATATATATATATATATATATATATATATATATATATATATATATATATATATATATATATATATGTAATGAATACGGCACTGCGGATGTTTTGATATATGTATATATATTTAATGTGTGTAATTTTGATAACATTGATTGTAAAGTCGGTATCTGTATGCCTGCTTACCCGTATGATTCGAATAATGTTAATAAAATTTAATTTTAATTAATGGTATACAATATGCAACATATTTTGAAAAACCTTTCAATCTATGAGCAAACAAAATAAAAAGACAGAAATAAGACGTTCCTAGACTACAGGAAAGTTAGGCAGCAAGCAAGTGCATTAAACTGACAGTGGTTTTGGTATTTGTGCCAAATGTCTCTAAAAGACCAGGAGATAATAGCATTTATTTCTTTAAAATAATCGTTCTGCAAATCTGATCTGACGGGTATCTGACACCTTACGATAATCGACTTTTCCCCATTTATTCCGAGGTTATTGAAACAGATGAACTCTACTGGACCTGCTCCGTGTGTCATAAGCACCAGCGTGAACATATGATGATGAGGATAGAGTCGGAAGTTGGCCAAGACAAATTATTATTAAAAATCCAACCACAATTTGTCTGACGACTTACACCAATGATAGAACAATGTTTAAACTATGGCACACACACCTCACACAGACTATGTTGAACCCCGCAGCATCACACTTGATGGCAGATATTGCACATCAACATCATCGATTTTAAAAGTATGTTTTAAAAATTCAATAGCATTAAGAAATTTAACCGCTACAAGTTCCAATCGTGATATATCATGTACTTAAAATAAATTGTTTACCAGTGAAACTGAGTACAAAAACAAAAAAAAAATGTTTTTCTGTCTCTGTCTTATTAGGATTTTTGTAGCTCAGTCTTGATGACCTGGACTATGCTGAAGACACTCATCACTTATACCCCACGGGCCACATCCAACAACAACAAAAATAATAAGGTAAAATGTATCACTCGTGTCGTAAATAGACGCTCTGATGAATACACACGCCGACCACTAGATAAGCGAATTTTCATCGGGCTATAGAGTAGATTGGCTTTTTAAAAGAAATAAGGCGTGTTTTTTTTCGCATCAGCTAAAGTAATACTATAGGCAGAGCTACAGGAGGAAAAGGTCAACATGTATAATAAACGTATCACTCTTTTCTTTGTTGCTCTCCATAATTCTCAGGAAATCTGCCGAACCACATACCAAAATTTTTGACAATGTTTAGCATCTAGAAGCATGTTTTCAGTTTTGTTTTACATCCGTATCATCTGTTTCTTCTTCTTCGTTCTTAATTGTAATGTTGGAACGTAATCCCCCCCCCCAACACAATTAAGTATTCGTGTCAACTTGTTTTGCGCCATATAGGCTGTTAATTTTTATTTCATCCTGGTTTCCTTTTTGGATTTGCTTGTGTAGTCTTTGACCAACCAAGAACAAATTACAAGGCAACAATTGTTTGATTTTGGAGTTGTCTCTCCTAGAAGAGTGGCTGTCCTCAGCTAACGAACCTCATCTGCCCGGGTGTTCGAACTCGTGCCTTTTCGGTTATATATATATATATATATATATATATATATATATATATGTATATATATATATATATATATATATATATATATATATATATATATATAATTTTTATATATCGGATAGACGACCTCCCTGTAGGGTGTGACTAAGCGTATCGCGGCTATCCTAGCACATTTGATTCATTGTCTGATGTGTTCTGCAGGGCGGTCATGGGTGATATTTAATTCATTGGTCAAACTTTACGAGACGCGCGCTAGGACGTCAGTGTGATGTAGTAACTCGAGGTGTTTTCTCAGCTTTGTACAACGTGCAGACTACTTTGTTGCTGTACAATGTGCAGACTACTTTGTCAGCTTTGTACAATGTGCAGACTACTTTGTTGCTGTACAATGTGCAGACTACTTTGTCAGCTTTGTACAATGTGCAGACTACTTTGTTGCTGTGCAATGTGCAGACTACTTTGTTGCTGTACAATGTGCAGACTACTTTGTCAATGTACAATGGGCAGACTACTTTGTCACTGTACAATGTGCAGACTACTTTGTTGCTGTGCAATGTGCAGACTACTTTGTTGCTGTGCAATGTGCAGACTACTTTGTTGCTTTACAATATGCAGACTACTTTGTTACTGTACAATGTGCAGACTACTTTGTCACCGACAATGTGCAGACTACTTTGTCACTGTACAATGTGCAGACTACTTTGTCACTGTACAATGTGCAGACTACTTTGTCACTGTACAATGTGCAGACTACTTTGTCACTGTACAATGTGCATA